TCATAGACTCTCTTATATTTCACCAGAAAAATCCCCGTAGTGTTGGAAAGAATGCCCCCAATTAGGAGATTTTGCTCATTGTTGGTGGCAATGTGAAAAGACTAAGAAATTTTGGACAGAAGTGTTGGGACATAATTCAGGTTGTTACCTCAGTGCATACCTCACTCACTCCGGAGATTTTATTTTTAAATACTTGGCCCCAGGAATTGGAGTCTAGACCACACAAAGTCACAACTGAAGTCATGCTGGACACCGCGAAAACGGCAATTGCATCCTATTGGAAGGATACCGAAGCACCAACTGTAGAGGTATGGTTCAGGAAACTATGGAATCACTACCTAATGGATGCCGTCACAAACAAATTGAATTACATGTCTCAAAGATCAAACCAAACCACCCTTATTGAAAAGTGGTTCCCGGCCCTTGAATACTTAACCCAGAAATAACTTACCTTTTTCAGGGCTCTTTTTGTAGAAAAAGCCCAGCAGGAACTCATTAGCATAATAGGCCACACCCGATAGCACATCACATTAACATATTAGGCCACACCCCATGTTACCAGAAGTGTGGTCATCCAGCCACACCCACCTTTTGCTTCTTATTCTACTTACTTTGTTTATTGTCAAAACCCAGGGCTTTTTTTGTAGCAGGAACTTCTTTGCATGTTAGGCCGCACACCCCTAATGTAGCCAATCCTAATGAGTTTCTGCCATTGGGTGTGGCCTATTATGCTAATGAGTTCCTGCTGGGCGTGGCCAACTTGGGAGCCAGCCGGAACTCTGTTCCTGTGCGTTCCTGCCCAAAAATAGCCCTGCCTTTTCTGAAAGGTCCCGATATCATAAATGGATCTAAAAATTGAATCCAAGTACTGTGGTTATCATTATCAGTGAAATTCCTTTCCTTTCCATTTACTTATTTATTTAATTTTTTACATTTGTTTTATGTTATACAGGCTCCGTTTACTTTTCAACGGTACACGGTTGTTTGTTCTATTATCAGGGTGGTTATAATTCACTATCAGAAAAGCAAGTTCAGTCGGGTATTCATACTGTAACAGTGTTTTAGGTTGGCAATGTTTGCACAATATGTTCTATTCACTATTTCAAAGCTTTGTAATATGTATTTGTATTGAAGGAAATTAATAAAAATTTTAAATATTAAAAAAAGACCAACCAAGTTTAATTCAAGGTGCTAGCTTTCATGTGCACGCACACTCCTTCAGATACGTACCTGGAGAATTGTACGTTCACACGGAAGCTTGTATCTTGAATGAAACCTTGTGGGTTGTAAAGTTGCCGCTGGCCAGACTCAAACTTTGTTCAGATCTGAAGAGTTTGGGCTAGCCTGGGCTATCCGGGTCAGGACAGTAGCACCTGGAGGCCAACAAGATTTTGGGGGTATCAGCTTTCGAGAGGCCCGCCTATCTTCCGTGTTTCTAGCGTGGCTCATGATCCGTGTGACCGGGGCCATAGAAAACCGAATCAGTCCATAGCTGCAAGATTTTGGGGGTATCAGCTTTCGAGAGGCAGAGCCCCCTTCATCAGAGCTTTGATTGTCAAACGTTGATACCCTCAGAATCTTGTTGGTCTCTACGGTGTTACGGGGCTTAAATCTAGAGGAGGAGGAGAAGGCGGAGAAGGAAGAGGAGGAGGAGGAGAAGAGGAGGAGGAGGAGAAGAAGGAGAAGAGGAGGAGGAGGAAGAAGAGACGGAGGAAAAGGAGGAGGAGGTTGGAGGAGGAGAAGTAGAGGAGGAGGAGAAGGCAGAGAAGGAAGAGGAGGAGGAGAAGAAGGAGAAGAGGAGGAAGAGGAGGAAAAGGAGGAGGAGGTTGGAGGAGAAGGAGAGGAGGAGAAGGAGGAGAAGAGGAGGAGGAGAAGAGGAGACGGAGGAAAAGGAGGAGGAGGTTGGAGGAGAAGGAGAGGAGGAGAAGGAGGAGAAGAGGAGGAGGAGGAGGAGAGGAGACGGAGGAAAAGGAGGAGGAGACGGAGGAAAAGGAGGAGGAGGTTGGAGGAGGAGAGGAGGAGAAGGAGGAGAAGAGGAGGAGGAGGAGCGGAGGAGACGGAGAAGAGGAGACGGAGAAGGAGAAGAGGGAGGAGGAGGAGAAGAGGGAGGAGGAAGAGGAGAAGGAGATTGGATTTATACCCCACTCGTCACTCAGAGCATCTTACAGTCTCTTTTCCCTTCCCCTCCCCACAACAGACACCCTGTGAGGGAGGTGGGGCTGAGAGAGCTCTGACAGAAACTGCTCTTTTTCAAGAACAGCTCTCAGAGAAGTATGGCTTGCCCAAGGTCATCCAGCCAGGTGTAAATGGAGGAGCAGGGAATCAAACCCGGTCCTCCCAGATTAGAGTCCGCGCACTTAACCACTACACCAAACTGGCTCTCGATAGCAAGAGAGATTCTGCAACGACCTGAAAATGACAGACAAAAAGCCCACCTCCACCACCACCCCCGCAAAAGGGAACGAAAATTGAAAAATTTGTGGAAGGGGGGAAGAGGGGGAGTTGGGGAAGGGGGGGGGGGGGGGGGGGAGAGACAGGACATTCCATGCTGTGCTATGGGTCCAGGGGGTGGGGGTGGGCGAAAAGGAGGGCGGTTTTTTCTTTGGGTCTCGGGGGAATAATCTCCTCAGTCTCATCAGAACGTTATTCCGCTGTCCGAAAAAGGAACACTTGACTTTAAAGTCACACCTGACATCTTCACGACGACGATAAAAAATAATAATAATATTAAAAAAATATTGGATTTATACCCCACTCGTCACTCAGAGCATCTTACAGTCTCTTTTCCCTTCCCCTCCCCACAACAGACACCCTGTGAGGGAGGTGGGGCTGAGAGAGCTCTGACAGAAACTGCTCTTTTTCAAGAACAGCTCTCAGAGAAGTATGGCTTGCCCAAGGTCATCCAGCCAGGTGTAAATGGAGGAGCAGGGAATCAAACCCGGTCCTCCCAGATTAGAGTCCGCGCACTTAACCACTACACCAAACTGGCTCTCGATAGCAAGAGAGATTCTGCAACGACCTGAAAATGACAGACAAAAAGCCCACCTCCACCACCACCCCCGCAAAAGGGAACGAAAACACTCCAGAGCCACAAGTTATGGACACGTTTTTAACAATTTATTGAAGGAGGCAACAGAGAGAGTTGGGGAAGGGCGGCGGGGGGGGGGGGGGGGAGA